AATTATCTTGGTTTCTATTACTATTTTTCTGGGGCTGGAAAGAATGTCGCCATGATCCAATATGGAATTACAAGAAAGCTCTGCCATTCCAGGAAAAAAAAAAATCCAACCACTAACATCACTGCTATTTATCCCTATAACCTGAGCACAAGTACTTGCACACAAATGCAACTACAGAGTACATCTAAACAGGTAATCACCCACACAATATGCAGATGCACATACAAATACATTGCAAATTTGCACTTACACATGTACAAGATGCAGTGAGGGTAATGTCACTGAACTGGTACATCCATTGCTCTGACCGAATCCCCCTGTTTAAGGAGGCCCCAGCACGGTGTTGTAGCAATGCAATGAACAAAGGAGCATAGGCAAATGGTTGGACTTTGCCTCCCATAGCTCGTGTGAGCTCTTTACTGGTTCTACTCTCCTTCCTGCCTCTGCACAGTGGGTCCTCTCTGCATAAAAGGAAGATAATCCCCAGTTTTCAATCCTTCCCAAGTTTCCCGTGTGATGATCCCCACCATGCTTTATGAAACTTGGCTTGTGAATATAAATACACATAACTCAAAGAAGCTTTAAACAAAATTAGGGATGTAAATCCAAGTTAACTATCAGATTATCCTAACATTTAACCAGTTGACAAAAGTGGGATCTGGGCTGGGAACTGCTCTAGCCCAGCCTTCCGCCCCAGCCTCGCACTGGGGTTGACTGTTGGTTCCCAGCTCCTACCAGAGCAGCTCCTGCCTGTGGGTGCCTGGGCTCCTGCAGACAGAGGCTGCTCCAGATGCTGGAGCAACCCCTGCCTGTGGGGTGCCCAGGCTCTCTGCAGGAGCAGCCCCTATCTTTGGGGCACCTAGCCCTGCCACGGGCAATGACTGCTCCTGATGTTAGAGCAGCCCCTGTCTGTGGCAAGCTCCCTGCAGTGCTGGAACAGCCTCCTGCCCACAGCAGGTTGGGAGCTGCTCCAGTCCCTACCACTTATCTGTTAACTGGACCCAGTAATCACCCATTTAGCTGTCACGTCACTAATTTTTTCACATACTTAAAACACCTGATGTTACTTAAAAATTCATAGGGAACAGCGGGTGTTTTAGGTCAGTCTGCTGAATCTGTATATCCTATTTGTGTGCATGTATCATGCTTGTATGTAAAGTCAGAAAGATGAAGTGTGATTCTTTGTAATTTTAACTGTGCTAATGAGAGCCATTACTAGTGCCCTGGAAGCCTAATGACTTGGAGATCAGTTCAACAACTTGTAAACAGCCTTGTTTGTCCTGTAAGTCTACAAGGTGGTTGGGAGTAGAAAGATATGTGACCTTACCACTGGATAAGGAATTCCATTTTGAATCTGGTGTTTCTCCATGGGAAGAGAGGACACCAAACAAAAGATTCCTGCCTTGGAGGAAGGATCTATTTAAGCAATGGGAAGCTATCAACCCTTTGTCTTCAGCTGGCTTTTGAAACTGCTTGGCACACTTAAGTGGAAAAAATAACTTCCACAAGGGCTGGAGACCCAAGTCACAGTAAAAGAGTTTCTCGGACTTGAAGATTATGCCTCAAATAAGAACAGCTCTTTAGGATAAGAATCTGCATGCAATAGGTTTCTTAGGGAATTAGAACTAGCTATTCATTTTCTTTTCGTTTTAAGTTTAGTAACTTACTTTGATCTGTCTGTTTTCACTTGCAACCACTTAATCCTAGAATGTGTACTTAGTAAACAAGGTTTTTTTTATTATCAAGCCCAATGTAAATAACTATTACCGGGGAAGGAGGAGGGAAAGGGGGAAAATAACCACTGTGCATCTTTCATTGATAGAGTGAGCTTACCTGATAAGCCTTCCCAGTGTAAAAGTTTTACACAGAGAAAGATAGTTTTATCTGGGGGTTTTGATTCCTGTGGGTGGTTAAGTTTTCTGGATGCTGTGTGCCGGAACTGTGTCCTCTCAAAGCTGAAGTGGTTCAGGGTCTGCATTGCTTTGCAGGCAGCAGTAACCCCAACTCTGTGACTTGTCTGGGGAAGACCAGAGAAACTCACCCAGCAGGACAGGAGGGTGGGGAGTCTCACAGAGCAAGACGACAGGTGCCAATGGCATGATCAGCACACTGGGGAACAATCCCAAGGGGTCTTCTGAGACTGCATCCAGTCACCACCATGAAAACAGAACTCCTTTCCAGTGCCTGACTCATTCCATTGTCCTTTAAAGATTCCCTTTACTTCCCTATAAGCAGTTCTTTTCCATTTCAAGACATCCTCAAGTGTCACTCGCTCCCAGCAGCTTGACCTTCAATACAGTTAGCGGTGCCTGGTGCCATGTATCCCAAGAGAGACATCATATGCATAGGCTGGGAGCTTGGATTCTTCTTCTAAGACAGTGGAGTGGTCTAATGAAACTACTAACCTATCTTTGTGATCAGTAGCACAAAAGAAACTGAGGGGTAATAAAAGAAAGGCTATTCCATAATAAAAGAGATGGTATTACCTCCTCTCACTCAACCCATAGCATGTTCACTTCCAGGTAGAAGGGAAGGAAAGAGTAATTTAAATGGCTGGATACCTCAGATGTCAAAGAAAGGACATCTCTGTAAGAAAGTAACACTGGTTTAATTTCAAGTTCTAAAACTTGTTACCGATAAGACTTAAGCAAAACTGATGTAAGCCGCTCTAACAAATAAAAGTATCCAGAGAGAGGGTTTGCATTGATTTAAGGAAACTAGTTTAAATCCCCACATTAAGTTAAACCAGTGCAACATTCTTGTTTAAATAAGTTCAAATACAATGTTCAAAGACAAAGCCAACAGATGGTTATTTTGAAATGAGTGTTGAAATGGAGATGCCTAACAGCAGCACATTCTTAATTCCAATACTGCTCTAGAGTTGCATAAGTCAAAAGTGACTGGAGATGTTAATCTGAAACTCTCCCCCCTACCCGAAGAAACACCTCTTCTCACATGAGATGAAGCATGAGAAATCCCATACCATAAAATCTTCATTGTAAAGTGTACAAAGGGTTGAAAATAGGTCTTTGCACAGAACACAACCTTAGCTGTAGAATCTTGGCCATAACCAGTAAACAGCTGTTCACACTGCACTAAAATCGTGTGTATTTTCACATGTGGACATGATCTTTGTAAGCAGAATTCTCCATTTCCATAAACAGTTATGGTATAGCCATGAATAGAGGGTGTGTTAGGAACAGAAGGCTCCTCTAAGGCACATGTATTTAAGTCTTTTGACCAGGCATTTCAGCTTTCTATCAAGACAGAGCACTAGTACTCAGTCTTTAAGGGTTTGGCCTATTTTTGCTCCTTCTTGGAGTTCCAAGGGGAAATCTGCTAATAGGGGGATTCAGAAGAACATGGATGATGAAAAACTAAGCTATTTTCTAGACAGTCATGCTTTCCCCTTCCAGAAGAGTTTTGGGGCTGTAGTCTCCACTTTGGCCATTGAAGAAGCAGCAAAGGTCCCCCACTCCCCTGAACACCCTGGTTTGGGCTTCTTTCCTCCACTTGATTTTCTGGAGTGTTTGGTAGATTTTTGCACCATCCCTCTCTCCAATAAACAGGAGCACTTTTATAGTTGAGCCCAGCAGAAGAGAAGAACATAAGCATGGCCTGCTAAGAATGTGCGTTTCATCAGGTACACGCAGCAGATCAGTGTGGGACTGGAGCGGTCTTTACTGCTGAGACTTAGGAGAATTTTCAGCCAAGAAACCCCCCATCACAAACATCCTGATCCTGCTTCAACTGAAGTCATCAGCATGCAAGACTCCTACTAACTCCTTTAGGAGCAGGATTGGTCCCTAAAAGAAACAGAGGCTGAGCCTCAGGATCTCAAGCAGAGCAGATCACGCCCCTCTGAAGCCCATAAAAGCAGCTAAGCAGGTCTCTGTGTCCAAGTCACTTCTTGGATGACTGAAAATATTCTTGGCATATGACATGACAGAGCTGGCAAATTGTATGTTTGTTTTCCTTTAGCTGGGTACTTGTGCCCTGTAACACACACCTTCTTTTATCCTGCCCCTTTCTAGGACTGCCACCCCTCAAATTAGGGGCCTACCAGCCAGATACTTTAAGAAAACCTGATTATGATCCCACAGGCAGCAGGTTGAAACTCACTCCAAAAGAAAGCAGAGCTTGAATCAGACCCTGGGCAAGCAAAGAACCGGGGCTCTCTCAAGGCGAGGGAAACAGACAGCCCTGCCTACAAGGGGTGCGCGCCAATGGACAGGGCCATCCCAAATGGGGGCTCACAGCCAGAAACACAACTGCCAGCCTGCCCCCCGGGAAGCAGAATTCTCCATTTCAATAAATGCTGAAGCCTGCGCCCAAGCTGCTGGCCTAGAATAGCCCAATGCACACGCAGATGCCACCTGCTTCGCGCTTAGCCAGAGCTGGCAGACCCGGCCCAACCCCCCGCAGCTCAGCCACTAGCCTGGTGA